ATATATATATATATATATATATATATATGTGTGTGTGTGTGTGTGTGTGTATTAATGAGATGCATGCATAATTGTAGCAAATGGCACTATCTGCATCATCAAATTAATCAATGAAAAAACAATACACTATATTCTATGCTCGCAAACCTTTCACGATCATTATCGTCATATTACATAGCACCTTGTGGCCGAGATGCGTTATGTAAGATTACCGTTGGTGAAGCGTGAGATTATCCCACGGAGAGGATCTTCGATACATTATGATATATATATTACGATTGCATACGTGAACGCTTGACTAATTACTACGGGAAAGAGTAAATAAAGTGATTTTTATTTATTTTTTTTATCAATGATTCTTGGCAATAATTACCTAGGAAGCTTTAATGCAAAAAATATTTCTAATGATAGTTATCGTTAATCAAATATACATGTAAACATAATCAAGTTAGTTTTTATCATAGACATAATAAATACATCGAATATGTCGTATGTGTGAGAGAGGAAACAACTCAAATCTTTTTTCTCTCTTTAACAGATAGAGAATTATCTTCTAATAGAAAATAAAAATAAACTGAATTATGTTTTTTCTCTCTTTCTCATTTACGAGCTACCGTAATTCATTTGGTAACAGTACAGGTTTCGCAACAGTATGCTTGATTTGTACTGTGTCTATAAAATTTTAATAAAAATTATGTTACAGTGGAAGCTACTGTGGGCGGTCATTCTGGTGACCGTGCTCTCCACGTGTCATACAGATGCAAAGAGAAGTAAACGTGCAATAGAAAACAGCCCACAGTTCCAGGGTTATGTCTATGAGCCACCCTCTAAACCTTTTACTTTACCCCCTCCGTAAGTATTAAAAAATCTGAAAATCCTAAAAATACTTATAAATATCACTTTTGATTCATATATAGAGGAAAGTCGCCACTACATAGATCTTTTAAAGACACATCCTTTATTTTATTGTTTAAATTATAAAAAAATTAATTATTTCAAATTTGACACAATATTATAATAATTATTATATTATCTGATAGAAAACATTTTTCTTATTTCTAATTATGTTTCTATAGTTTTATTTTTAAGAAATATCCAGAAACAAGATAGTATGATATCGGGAACTTCCTCTGGGGGACTTTCCTCTGATTATCTGATTAGATTTGTCTTTAAAAAGTTTTATTTGTGACCAAGCTATATTTATATAATAATAATTAATAATTTCTCATCAAACACATATCTATGATTACGTTGACAGAGTGACGTCACGGACAAGCATAATAACATTTAGGCCAACTACGGTGACATTAACACCATATACTTATACAACTCCAAGAGTTCAGACAACGGTAAGAACTCCACCAGCACCATCAAGAACAACATATGTGACACAAGGATATACGTATACAACTCCGAAGACTCCATTCCCAACGCCTAAAACAACGCCGCCAAGAACGCCACCGCCACCGCCACCGACACCACCAAGAACTCCACCGCCACCACCAAGAACATCAACATATGTGGTGACACAAGGATATACATATACAACCCCGAGAACTCCATTCCCGATACCGCCTAGAACAACACCATCGCCGCCGCCTAGAACACCACCACCGCCACCGACACCACCAAGAACTCCACCGCCACCACCAAGAACATCAACATATGTGGTGACACAAGGATATACATATACAACCCCGAGAACTCCATTCCCGATACCTCCTAGAACAACACCACCGCCGCCTAGAACACCACCACCGCCACCTAGAACACCACCACCGCCGCCTAGAACACCACCACCGCCGCCTAGAACACCACCACCACCGCCTAGAACACCACCACCGCCACCAAGAACACCACCTCCAGTAACAAGCGGAGGATACGTTTATACAAATCCAAATACGGAATTTACATTGCCACCGAGAACACCGCCACCAAGAACCGTGCCGCCACCAACTCCTCCACCGCGAACACCACCACCATATTTACCACCTGTGAAGACTCCACCACCATATACAAGACCCCCATATACACCACCTCCACAAACTCCTCCACCGAGAACGCAGCCACCATACACAAGGCCTCCATACACACCGCCTCCACAAACTCCTCCACCGAGAACGCAGCCACCGTACACAAGGCCCCCATACACACCGCCTCCACACACTCCTCCACCGAGAACGCCGCCACCATACACAAGGCCCCCATATACACTACCTCCACAAACTCCTCCACCGAGAACGCCACCACCATATATACCACCCCCACAAACTCCTCCACCGAGAACGCCGCCACCATACACAAGGCCCCCATACATACCACCTCCACAAACTCTTCCACCGAGAACGCCACCACCATATATACCACCCCCACAAACTCCTCCACCACGAACACCACCACCATATTTACCACCTGTAAAGACTCCGCCACCATACACAAGGCCTCCATACACACCACCTCCACAAACTCCTCCACCGAGAACGCCGCCACCATACACAAAGCCTCCATACACACCACCTCCACAAACTCCTCCACCGAGAACGCCGCCACCATACACAAGACCTCCATACACACCACCTCCACAAACCCCTCCACCGAGAACGCCGCCACCATACACAAGGCCTCCATACACACCACCTCCACAAACTCCTCCACCGAGAACGCCGCCACCATACACAAGACCTCCATACACACCACCTCCACAAACCCCTCCACCGAGAACGCCGCCACCATACACAAGGCCTCCATACACACCACCTCCACAAACTCCTCCACCGAGAACACAACCTCCGTATTTACCACCTGTGAAGACTCCACCACCAAAAACACCGCCACCGTATATTCCGCCTCCTCGAACTCCTCCACCAAGAACACCACCCCCAAGAACACCACCACCTCCTCCACCTCCACCTAAAACCGCACCTTCTTATTTGCCTCCACTTCCAACAAGACCTCCTTATGTATCAAGGACAACAACACAAGGATCTATAGAATATGAAATTAAACCAATCGATACTGAATTTGGAAGGTATACTACGAAAACATCTACTCGTTTAACTACAAGACCTACGCCAAGAATTACTACACAATATACTACGCGACCTATTCCTCAAATAAGTACGCGAGTCACTGCTCAGCCATCTACTTACCTTCCGCCTTATTCTGAGCCATCCACCAGATATACCCCAACTATATACACAACGACCAAATACACTTCACCGACGACCAGATATACTCCACCGACGACTAGAAACACCTACACCCCGACAATTACAACCAGATATACTACCACTCCTATCACTACAAGATATACTCCATCTATAAGAACGACATTTTCGACGTATAGTCCGACTACGCCTGTCTATTCATCGACCATTCCGTCAACTTTTACTCCAACTCGACCACCACCATATCTTCCGCCGTCAACCCCAAGACCAGTATATCCAACTGTGACGCCACCACCGCCACCTGATCCTATTTTCAGCATTACACCCAGCACGCCAACTTTGCCGCCACCAACCGGAAGGCCTGCACCACCTCCAACACTGCCGCCTACAACACCCAGGCCAACTTTAGGATATAATTACCCGATTCCCGATATTCCGTTTGAAACTCGCAAACGATGAAAATAACATGGGCTGACATGAGCAGCTTGCAACGCGTCACGTTACCGATTAATAAAATCTTAAATATTAGTATGTATAATATTAATATTAGCAAGATTATTTAATAGTTGATGTAGGTAACGCTGAATCCTCCGCCAGATATTTAGAGTATCATCTTTTTTATATCATTTTCGCCATACTATTTTTTCTAAATAAAAATTTACTCGGCCAACGTACGAATGTCTTTTTACATGTGTAATAAGTATAGAAAAGGAATAAAAAACTTTTAGAAGAATATACTTACATTACTTTTCCACTTTAACGTAAAATGTGTTTTTAATTTGATACAAAAAACATCGAAATTATTCCCAAATGAAATAATTTCCAAATGTTGCGTATTTTATAAAATTCAGCGATGCATTTAACGTGAAAATAAGGTATATAAAAATACACATACACACACACACACACACACACACACACATACGCGCGCGCGCACGCACGCACGCACTCACAGGATTGTATATGTATATACAATCAGTGAGAAGCATACACATTTGTACATTTGGAAGCGTAATTATAATATATATACGTATAAAAAATTATAATTGCATAGTTTTATTTCGTTTCTTAAACAAACATACATCACGTACGCATTAAAATATGTTAAATCATAAAAATGTTTTATTTGACATATATGGATGTTTGATGTACACTACAATTTGGAAACACTATAAATTAAAAAATTGACATTTATAGGATTACTTTCTTAAATATATTCATAAAAATATGTTTTTAAGAATAATCCTTTAGTAACATTGAATATAAAGAATTATTTTATTGTTAAATAAATCAATTAAAAAGTGTTTCCAAACTTTTAGTTCGGAGTGTAAAACTATTAGTATCACAGTCGATATTTAATTATAGATTTTTTCATAATAATTACAAATATTTTTTTTTTAAAGAATATATTAATTAATATATTGAGTCAGTTTTTTCAAAGAAAAATTTTTATTTATAACTCGCAGCGATTTCTATAGATCACAATAAATTTCTATAGATTTATACACATAAGTACCTATTCTATATAATAAACATATTAAAATCCTCACTGCAAGTCCGACTGCTTTCTATTATTCCTGATACTTGTGTATAGACACTTGTGACAGTGCATATCACTAGGGTAAGAAATTACGGTGTCGCTTTGACGAATGAGTGGACGAAAATGGAACGTTAGTAGCGTATTTAGCAGGTCAAGCACCGGAACGGTGAGAGATTTTCCTTGCATGTATGCTTCGGTGGCACTCGAGTCCTGGCATCGAAATAAGTAGCCCATAACCACCTGCCTTCTACTTACCATAACGAGCCTCCCCCACAAACAAAGGAAATCTCCACGGCACTGATAGAATCACTAAGTGAAAACTGCGTGCCGAGAAATGCTTGATCATTAGTTGCGTAGGGAGCATCGAAAGAGTAACGTCGTGTGCTCTGTATAGTTATTTGTATAGTTTGAAATAGCAAATTATTGGATTAAAAAAGTCTAAGTCGGTCCTAAAATAGTACCATTGGACTAAAACAGTCTTCTTTTTCGTTTGTCAAAATAATCATTGCCGACGAACACCTCGATCGTTCGCGTTTACAACTGACTGCAATGGCAAAGTGAAACGAATCGACAAATTCGAGGCATGTCAACGGTAAGCTGATTAATTAAGCTCAGTATCATCCTAATGTGTAATCGTAAAGGATATCAGTCACCAGACTTCTCAGAAGGCGATGATTGAAACTGGCAGGAGATCCGCCATAAGTACATCTGAGCTAGGACTTTATTCTGATCGCGGTGATCGATATAACAGGAGTCGCTACGGTTTAATTGTGAGAAAACTTGCGATCGGAGTTATGATGGTGATAACGGTAATACTGGTGAGTAATCGAGTGTGCAGAATTATTAATTAATTATTTGTTACATTTGTCAAGTGTTAGAAAATATTTTAGGAGACAACTGAAGCTTATAACTGAATTTATAACCGGAGCTCATAATTAAAGCGGAAAAATTAAAGTAGAAAAATTAAAAAAGAACATAATCGGTATTGCCATAATTACATGACAAATAATTTTAATTACTGTATTTATTGAATATATTTATGTGTTTTTTTTTACATATTTTCATAATCAATATATCTTTTTTCGTTATATAAATATGGAGATATTCTTTGATTACATCTGTCGTGACATAATAATAATTCTGATTGACAAGAAAGCATTAATGTCATATTACAAATACCTTGTTAACATTTGGCTACTTGGCGCTCGCAACAATCTTGAAATCATTCCATTTCTGTTGTTTTTCAAATGTCAAACAAAAACAAGTAATGCTGGCGAGCGTTGCGAGCCCAAAATGGGACGCACGCAACCATATTTGAGTGACACGTAAAATTGGCCTCGTCACTGATTTGTGAATGAGAGACAGTTTCTATCCAATTAAAGATGATTTTATTAAATATTTAAAACATTGAATAAACAATATAAATTATATTAAACATTAACAATGAAAACATTAACAATGAAATTTTAAAATAATACACTAGATTTATTCAGTTTAATGCCAAAATTAGTTCAATCTAAATATTAAAGTAAAGTTAAATCTTCAGGATTAGGAATATGAAATAATGAATTACAATTGAATAAATGAAGGGATGTGTACATATATTATTTCATTAAATTATATTATTCATCTCCATTCATATCTTACAATCGATGATTTCGCTATATGTTTTATCGTACAATTTGTGTCGGACGATGACCTTGCACATCGAAAAGTCTGTTGATTCGCGAAGCATCCTGTTTCGCACGATTTTATTACACGTGCCTCTGAGATGACGATAATCAAAGAGTACGGAATTTTTCGTGAGTTTCTTCCACGCGCGAAGAACAATAAGCATAATTATAGTTTGCGCGTTTTCTCCGGTGATTAATGTTGAAGACGTGTGTGGAATTGTAATTTCACCGTGAATCTTTGGGTATCCCTTCCATGCATGGGGAGTCAAGCGAGCGAAGATTTCTACACGCTTCACATATAGGGCGTTAACTGTGTTTCGGTATAGATTAACCATCGTCTGCCAGTTGGGAACATGAGTTAATTGCACCTTTGTTGTTTTAAAAGCTGTATATATAAATATCATTCGCTGATTTATAAATTGTTAATTGTACAATTGTACAATTTCGCCTTCACTCAATTTTGCAATTACTCATTTTCTTTCTATGGTGAAACTGGACATTGAATTTTTTAATGTCACTTAAGAACTAACAATGCTGCTCTCAAAAGTAGCGTAATGTTAACATTTAGTTAACTAAAATTTTACAAAATGAATTAAATTTTATCTTATCTAGTAGATATTAAAAACAATAATTTTATTAAAATAGCTTGATATTATAAAAAAAAATAGTATATTTATGTTTGTGTTAAAACCGATTATTATTAAAATGTTTGTATTAAATTTTTAATACTCGAGTATTAATTTATCATGACATTGTATTATTTAAATGATTTTTATGTTAAATTAATATTTAACATTTTCATATTTTTTGTTTTAATTTTTACATATGTGTGTTATTTCCTAACATATTTATCTTAAGTTGAATTAACACAATTTGAATAAATCATTTAGTTTAATATTATCATCGTAGGTGGCGATATTTATGTACGATTTTACGTCCGCCACGACGGGGAACAGTAAAATCAATCAGGAAACAAAACATATATACATACTACAGAATGCTCTCAAAAAATCACCAAATCTCTCGAAAAAGCCTATTAACTCCACGAATTTGTACGAAGTCATGGTTAATCGTACGAGCGATCTTTTAATGGAAGATCGCTCGGACGATGAGAACTATGAAAGTCTCATTCAACGGAATACAACAGGCGATATAATACCAGCCGAGACACGCATCGTGACAGCGAATGGGCCCGAGATGAGAACGCAGAATCTGCAAAATTTCAAGCAACGGAAGAGAGTGCTGAAATCCATAGAAGATGCCAATGAAAATGAAGAACCCGAGTCCAAGCAATTGTTCGATAATCATGCGATTGTTTATCGTGTGAGACAGAGGTGAACTACATGTCATCGTGCACTAAAAGAAAAGTATTTGTGGATGTAATAATTTAGTCATTTTTCGGGGACAGTCATCTATTTTTTTTAGTATATAAATCTATATAGCACAGAAGTTTGCAGCAACATTTGAAATGTTACTGCGTATTGCTGGAATGTTAAAATTGTTGTTGTAATATTGCTGAAATGATCTGTACTGTATAGAGAATTATAAATGTAAATGTTATCTCTAAGAAAAATTTAATACTATAAATATATTAAATCGGATGGTAAATTTATTTTTAATATTATTAGTGATTTTAATATTTTAAATAAGTAATTAACCAACTTACAGTATTAAATTTCTCTAAAAAGGGATTACTAACATTATAACAACAAAAATATAAAAAAATAGTGCTTCTAGTTATAACTATTTTACCACACAATTATAGTCATAAATATCAAAAACTTGTCTCTCAGTATGATTAATCTCAACGATTACCTTAATGGCATAGCCAATTTCTTTGACTAGTCATTCATCAAAATCAATTATTAAGAATCGAAAATTTTTTTTTTATTTAACAACAGGCAACGATTTGTAAGTGTCCATTTGGCAAAATATTACGACCTTCGCACAATGCAACGCGGAAGAATTAGCATATCGCGCAAATGGATGTTATATTGATGGCTCGATTCTCCCATCAATAAACCCGAAAATATGAATATCATTGACATCATTTTTATGATAATACAGGGAATACTTTCTACGTTAGGTAACATTGTGTCATTGCGCGCCAAGTTGATTCTACATATAAATTGCACATTGCACAGACTCTCTCACCGACAGCATCATTCACCACTTACTTACATTTCATCGTGACGTGTAAAGAAAGAGAGAGCCGATCATAATGATATCGCAAAAATTTATATAACGCGTCAGGTAATTTTTACGCACCGGTCAGACTGACATGGGTAGTTCTTCATCAATTTGGCAGATACAAACATCCGGATATGGACGAGAATGTGAGCACGGAGGAGCTGGCGCGACCCACGCCGTTTCACTGGGAATTCAAGACGCCGCATCCGACGTCGTTCAAACGGCCGAGATATCCACAGTTGACGCAATACCGATACCCATACGCATCCAGAAGCATCCAGGACATCATCAAGTATCTGACAAACAATGCCGAGATGCCGAATCGCGGCATCAAATTTACCGGTGTCTACATGAATCCGAAGAAGTATGATTTGATCCCCGATATGGAGGAGATGATGTCCAACAGCGATAAATCGGAGGAGATCGAGACACCTCCATCATATCCGATCAAATCGGCGGTGTATAATAACGATCCTTTTTATCAATATAAACCGAAACATCCAGCTGACGTTAATCTTTTAGCTACATCTAATGTGAGGTTTGTAAAATGGAAATTATTATAATTTGTGAATCTAAGATAGTGAGAATATTAGATATTAATGTGGAAAAAACGATTTTGTTAAAATTATCTTAAAATTATAATATCTAAAATTTAAACAAATTTATAAGATTTGAAAATAATGTTAGACCATAAAAATAATTATATATCTTGTTGAGAAACAAAAAAATTGAATCGGGTAAATGAGTTAGTTTTCACATATAATGTAGTTTACAATGTGATGAATAAAGCTGTCATAAATACAAGACTCAGTACAATTTTTTAATTACAGTACACATTGAAAGTGTAAAACTTGTGCTCTCAAAGCACTTTTTACATTATAAGTGAAAACTTGTTCTACCTGATTTTTCATACAATTAATCTTTATTGCATTGTGTTATTATATTACACAAAAGTTAATTAATACATTTATGAGAAGATCGAATGATATTGAATAATAGTTAGTATTGGACATAAGAATTGTTTAAGATACTACACATACTAACATTTTAAGTAATTATGTTATCATACCAGCTGTCAAATATTACCCAATTTTATCCTAATATTTATTTAAAGTACTAATCAAATTAATTTTTTTTAGGTTCTCTCCGACTGGAGTACATCGATACAGCCCTTATTATGATCCTATATATTCTCGACCTTTAATCACTTACAACAAACCTATCATAACGGAATCGCAGTACGAAACCACCGGCTCTTACTCGACAAACACTTTAACAAAGAATCGAAAACCAAAACCATTCAGCGTGATGCTTGACATCTATCCTATTACCGATCTCGTGGAGCAAAATAAGAAGACAAGTTGGACCAGACCGCAATCGTCTATAGATGATTACGATTTCAGAAGACCCGTTCAATATCGTGGGCCAAAATTTTATGCGTCATCCCCGCAACCTATACCTCTCCTAGGTGGACCTAATCCTACACCTGTATCGGAAGAAGAAGAAAGAAAACAAATGATATTTCATTTAAACTTATATCCTCGAAGAAAGAATAAAATTGACAGGTGCGGTTCTGAACTTATTGCTGATCATCTTTAGTTCTTATCATTTTGTCGATTAAAGCTACTTAAAAAAACTGAAAGTGAAAATGTTGCTTAGAATTTTTATACAAATTGATCTTTTTAGAAATACTGAGAAATCCTTATATTTTTTTCTTAGAATTTTTCATGTATATAAATTATGAAATATTCTAAAATTTCTATGATTTTTTATTTTATAAATTTTTTTCTGTTTTATAATTTTTTTCAAATTTAATAAAATTTTATTAGAAATTAGAATAAAGAATCTTATAAAATATTTCAGAATTCACATATATAAAAAATTCTAGCAAAAATTTAGATTTTGGAACTTATAAAAAACGAGTATCAATTTGTATTTAAAAATGTAAGAATTTTCTAAAAAGTTATAAAATTATTTAAATATAAAAAAATTGATATAAAAATTCTGAAAAATTAAAAAATTAAAATTATATTTAAAAATCTCTGAAAAAAATCTTTACTTATAGAATAAACTTAAAATTTGTCTTGTAAATTATAACTTAAAATAATTGCTTCAATCTCATATTTATCGCAGAAAAATTGAAAATACTTGATGTCTTTGTAAAAAAATGCATTTAATATTTTTAATGCATTTAATATTTTTAATTTGATTTCTAGGAATGATATCATACACAAATCAAAATCGATGGAACCTGAGGAGCGGCAAGAATTTGCGAAGAAAATAATGTCTCCCTTAGAATTGATCACCAAACATTTAACTGATCATTCCACGGTTGAAGAGTCGAAGTTCATAAAGAATTCAGATATAGCCAGTCTTCCAATATCGCGATATCACGAGATGAGTTTGGACGAAAAGAACGAGAGAAATGGGGATCTTGTATCGTATAATGATTCAGAAATTTATTCAGATTTGGTTAACAGCGATGGTATTGTAGGAGATTCTATCGTACCTCTCAATCATAAACTAAACATCGACGAAGATTATGTCAGCACAGAGAATTATGAAATTAATGCGCAAAAATTGATCGAGACTACAGAGAAAGATCGTGCGAATTGCGACAACGCAACGATGATTGATAGATCGAAAGCCAACACAAATAAAAGTATTGATCTTTTGAAGGATATTGAAGGATATTGATATCGTTTAAGGTTTTAGTCTCTTACGCTGAAATTAAAAATATAGTTACTAAAGATGTGATTCGTCAGAAAAGATTATCAAATATCTCTTGATAATTCAATATGCTAGACATTTTAATGTCATATAAAAAATTTTACATGTCGCTATCTTACTTGAATCACAGACCGTATGTCTAATGTAATTGTTATTGTACTTCGTTTTGAAATATATTTTTGTAGTTCTTCTATTGTGCTTTTTTTAATCATAATAATCAATGAAAATGACCCAATTAGGATCGAAACGTTTGTTAAAATAAATTTTTTGATAATTTAGCATTTTTTGATAATTTATTAAGATCTTGCTTGGTTCGTAGTCCTATTTTTATTATATTAAATAAAATCTTTTAATTTATTGCAGTTGAAAAGTTTAACTAAGTAATTTGAATAAACGTTTTAACACAAATTAATGTTTTAATTCTTATTGAATCTCGTTTTTGAGTTTTAATTTTTGACAATTTTAAGAATTTGAATTTAGAATTTTACTTATTTTATGTAAAATAAATAATATTGACTTACAAAAATTTTATTTCTCAATATTTAAATGCTAATTTTTATATATATTAATTACTAAAAAAGAATATAATAAAAAGTCGCTAACTCATAATGAAGCATGTACTTCGACAAGGTAATATGGAGATTTCAACTAGGTTCAATAATCGAGCAACAAACATTCATTAATCACCGGTGCTGATCGTTTCTATTATATACTAAGCATTTTTGATAAAAAGAACGATCAATATGCTTTTCATATAATCAGACAAGCATTTAAATATCATGTTTATGATCTGTTTAAATTTAGCCAAGCTTGCTTCCTTGCCTTGACATTTTCATCAAAGACATTCGGAAATTTTTCGTGATCTTTAGGGAGATATTCTTAGAGATAGTCTTAATAGAGAATTGCTTCATAGGCTATTGTGACGTTGGATGTACATTTAGAAGATGAGAATAGCAAAACAATTGAAGAAAGTTATTAATCAAGAAATTACATTGTATATACAGAGTGATTTAGGATAAAATTTGTTTTGTTTGTCTTTAAAATGTCATATTCCTGATTTAATTCTAAGATGATTTTTCCTTTGCTAAAATTTTGCAGAAAGATTTTTTGATAGTGTAAATTTTTATTATTTCAGACAATTCTTTAATAGATAAGCAACTTTTAATATATAAAAATTGATTCTATTGTATGTATTATGTGTAATTGAAAAAATTTATAACATGTTTATAAATTATTTGTCACAAATATAAATAGATAGTTATCATATTAACATTTAAATAAATAATGAACAAAACTAATTTATACAAACTTGAAAATGTATATATTGTCGACTGTAAAATGTACAATTTCATTTTATCTTAAATACGAATATATATATAATGTTACATTATATTACAACACACAGAAAAATGCATTTTAACTTCTTAACAATATCACAAGTACAGTATAAATAAAATATACAATTCTAAATTCTTTCTCTTTTCCTCTTCTTTGTCGAGAGTTTATAGTTATATATTTTACTTATATATTAGACTTGTAATTCTATGCTATTATCTAATCTTAAAATTACCTAAAGATAACATATTGTCAAATTTTACAAGCCATATACTTCTTTATATGGACGCGTCTTAAATCAATACTTTTTACATTATGAATAGCACCAGCGAACTCTTCTTTCTCTGCAAGTTCATAAATTACATATTGTCTAATAATTTTGTAACTTACGATGCATCTTTTTCACCATATTATTTCATTTTATTATTATTATATCTATAAAATCTGCTGAGATTACGTTAAAAAAAGTTGGATTTAAAAAAATTTTATCAGAAAACATTTTTAATTAATTTTTTCTTAGCAATTTTACATTATTTTTTAGATATATTATTTTTTAAATATTAACATGATTTCATTAAAATAAAATTTTAATTAATTTTAGAAACGTTTCCGTTACAAAACTGGCTTTTGTTTAATAATTGAGTTTTTGTTTACAATTTACTTCTATATATATATTTCGTCTAAGAAAAAATTTATATAATTCATAGAGACAATTCTCTAATATTGCTCTGAACTTTTACGTTCTCGAACCCAGCGTACTTGGATGATAAAGCGTCGTGTCGGCTCCCCATTCGTATGGGCCTTCATGTGGACCCAATGTGATCATCGTGCCAGGTCCCAAAGTTGTATGCGATCCAGAACTGACCATAGCTGGTCCGGAAGAGACATAACTGAGAGGTGGTCGCGGTTGATCGCGCAAACGCGCGTGTTTTACTTGCCGTTTATATCTGAAAAAAAAATAATTCAATTTTTTTTATCCAACGTTTTATTTGTCAGTGAAATAAGAAAATACAATAAAAATTAATTATTGCTTATAATAGTAAATAATTGTTGTTTATAATGATGAAATGATAATATTTGGATTTAAAAAAATGTTTTTTTAAATTTTTTAAAGTCGCGAAGATTAGATAAATCATATTCTGTATGGTGATTATATATATGAACTATTAACTGTTAGCAATGTAACTAGATTGTCTTACTTGGCATGCATGCAACATAATGCACAACTGGAAATGATTGTAGCAATTCCGACGAGGACTGCAATAGCTAGGACCCAAATCTGCGTCATGGAGGCATCAGCGCGGGCTACCATGGCGGCACAATGCTGTACCTTCTCCACATGATATGTTCTATATACTTTCTTCAGCTCTTTATTCCTCGGATCAGTCAACAATGATCGCATCTCGTCCAAATCGTAAGACTCCTTGCCGACCATCTGAAAGCACGAACTGGTCGACGAAAAGTCCAGAGAGTTGTCTTCTTTCGAATAAAACTGCGTATCGTAGACGTTGATACTGATTGGCAGTGAAAGAGCCTGTTGAACCGCCTTCTCGAAATCTTCTAACGTCTTCCTGACTTCAACTGGCGGCTTCGAGAATACGAACTTCAGCATGTCACGATCGCGCAACAGGAAAATCCTCACAGTGATGTTAGTCTCGCCTCCTGGCGTCAATGAGTTATTCGCCGACATGATCATCTCCATGAAACCGTCCGCGTATCCCGCCATGGAGCCTGTCGTCCTGAGCTCGCCGGTGCGTGAATTCAAAGACAGTTGCGACGGTATCTCCTTCTGTGACATGGAAGAATCAACTAGAGACGTAAAAGATACTCTACTCATGTTGTAGTTGATAGGTAACGCGCTAGAATCAGCGTCGTAAGCCTCCAACGTGATCAAACTGGTGTCAATTGGCACGTTCAAACGAACCCCCAAGGTTATATTATCCTTCTTGAAGTACGGTTTATTGTCATCGATGTCCAGGACCTTGACAAGTACCTGTCTTTCCGAAGGATCTTGCTTGTTGTATGGTTTCGGCACTATATCCGATTTTTTAGAAGAATATTTGAAACACTTCACGGTCAGTAAATGAAACTCGGCAGTTTCCCGATCGAGACGACCGTTCGATTTGATGATCGCGGAATTATTTTCTAGACGCTGCACAACAAAGAGCCCCGCCTCGTTCCCATATACGATCTCGTAACCGATCATCCCATTTTCATTAATATCTTCATCGATCGCTTCGATCACACCGACTTTGGAACCTACCGGCATTTCTTCTAGGACATTCAACTCGATCGGTGGACTATCTAGACTGCGTTTGAAGTGCGGTTTGTGATCATCGATATCATTCACGATCACTTGGAGCACTCTGGTTGCCTGCTGTGGCGGCTCGCCAAGGTCCTGTGCTACCAAGATCAGCGTGTAGCTGTCTTTAGTCTCCCTATCAAGTAACTTGCGTGTGCTGATCAATCCGGTATCGCTGTTAATCCTGAAGGCACTCGCATCTTTACCGAAATTACCGTCCTCCAGAAAACGGAAAGTGATTCTGCCATTTGGCAAATTCGGGTCGTCTGGATCGGATGCTACCACTTGGAACACCGGACTGCCAACAGTGGAGTTCTCCGCGATGTAGGCTACTTCCTCCAACGTCGGCCTAATGAACAGTGGCACGCCGTCATTGCTCACTACGTCACCAATGTACAAGATAAGATTCACATCCGAATACAAAGCTGGCTCGCCATTGTCCTGCGCTCGCACTCGCATGTTGTACGGTTCGGTCCTGCCTTTGCCAGTCAATGCTCGCGCCGAATATATCTCGCCAGTCGTATGATTTATTTTAAACAATCCTAAAAACATCAATCGTACAATTAATTTTGCTTTATACATATACAATATTATCAATTTATTTTGTTATAAAAAAGAAATTAGATTTTA